CAGTCAATGTGCCACAGGTGTCCTCCATGCAGATGGGAGCAGTGGATCTCTTGGGAGGAGGACTAGATAGTCTGCTTGGCAGTGACCTTGGCGGGGGCATTGGAGGAAGTCCGGCAGTGGGACAGTCCTTCATCCCCTCATCAGTATCTGCAACCTTTGCTCCTTCACCTACTCCTGCTGTGGTCAGCAGTGGTCTGAATGACCTGTTTGAACTCTCCACGGGAATAAGCATGGCACCTGGTGGATATGTGGCTCCTAAGGCTCTCTGGCTGCCTGCAGTAAAAGCTAAAGGCTTGGAGATTTCCGGAACATTTACTCACCGCCAGGGGCACATCTATATGGAAATGAACTTCACCAACAAAGCTCTGCAGCACATGACAGACTTTGCAATCCAGTTTAACAAGAATAGCTTTGGTGTCAGCCCCAGCACTCCTCTGGCCATCCATACACCGCTCATGCCAAACCAGAGCATTCATGTCTCCCTGCCTCTCAACACCTTGGGCCCAGTCATGAAGATGGAACCTCTGAATAACCTGCAGGTGGCTGTGAAAAACAATACTGATGTCTTTTACTTCAGCTGCCTCATCCCACTCAATGTGCTTTTTGTAGAAGATGGCAAAATGGAGCGCCAGGTCTTCCTTGCCACATGGAAGGATATTCCCAATGAAAATGAACTTCAGTTTCAGATTAAGGAATGTCATTTAAATGCTGACACTGTTTCCAGCAAATTGCAAAACAACAGTGTTTATACTATTGCCAAGAGGAATGTGGAAGGGCAGGACATGCTGTACCAATCCCTGAAGCTCACTAATGGTATTTGGATTTTGGCTGAGCTATGTATCCAGCCAGGAAACCCAAATTATACGCTGTCGCTGAAATGTAGAGCTCCCGAAGTCTCTCAGTACATCTATCAGGTCTACGACAGCATTTTGAAAAACTAATAGACTGGTCCGGGGCCCTCCGGCCACCCTGTGATTGGTGCAAGCCAAGAACTCTTAACTGGAAGAAATCGTATTGCCGTGTAGAATCTGAACCCAAACACACTGAGGCCGCCCACCAAGGTAGTGACTAGTCTAACCTGTGCTAACATTAGGGCACAACCTGTTGGATAATTTTAGCTTCCTGTGAAAATTTGTAACCACTGCTTCGATCACACCCCACCTCTTGCCACCTGCCTCTGCGATCTGTCCTTACTTGTGAGCTTCTCCATAGTGTAGTTTGATATTTTGTAATTGAGAGCTCATTTCAAAAGCAGAAAAAGACAAAAAATATTAAAGCAAGGAAAAGTGTCACTGAAACATAAAAAAAAAAAAATGAGAATTGATATTTGGCCGTCACTCATCAGCCAACCTCAATGAAGTGTCTGGTTCACTTTTGTTTCTCTCTCTCTTTAAAGTAGGTTCTAGGGGCGCCTGGGTGGCTCAGTCGTTAAGCGTCTGCCTTCGGCTCAGGTCATGATCCCGGGGTCCTGGGATCGAGCCCCACATCGGGCTCCCTGCTCAGCGGGAAGCCTGCTTCTCCCTCTCCCATTCCCCCTACTTGTGTTCCCTCTTTCGCTGTGTCTCTCTCTGTCAAATAAATAAAAATCTTGGGCGCCTGGGTGGCTCAGTCGTTAAGCGTCTGCCTTCGGCTCAGGTCACGATCCCAGGGTCCTGGGATCGAGTCCCACATCGGGCTCCCTGCTCCGCGGGAAGCCTGCTTCTCCCTCTCCCACTCCCCCTGCTTGTGTTCCTACTCTCGCTATGTCTCTCTCTGTCAAATAAATAAATAAAAAATCTTAAAAAAAAAAAAAAGTAGGTTCTATGCCCAATGTGGGGCTTGAACTCAAGATCCTGAGGTCAAGAGTCACACACTCTATTGACTGAGACAGCCAGGCACCCTGTGTCCTTCCTCCCCCCTTTTTAATTAAAAATACAACATAAGGACATGAATGATGTTTTTTAAAAAGAAAATCACCTCTAATCCTACACCTTAACACAGTACCTTTTTTTATAATGTGTTTTCTGGTCTTTGTGTAACTTCATATTATCATATAGCTATAGACCACTTTCTTCCCTTAAGTGTTTTTCAGTGGTTCAGTGGTTCAACAAAGACTTCGTGATTATCATTCTTTAACTACTGCATAATGACCATCGAGAGGGTGTGCTGAAATTTACTTGGCATTCCTCTATTGTACATTTATGTCATTCTAGATTGTTTTTGCTTTTGCTTTTACAAGAAAATGTTGTCATGGGCATTTTTATACATCAGAGTTGGTCCTATTTGAGGCTTAGTTTCCCAAAGTTCCTGAAGCAAGATGCCAGGGAGTGGGCCTGAAGATGAGAAACATGGCATCAACACCAAAGACTGCGTATCTAAGCTAAGTCCTGGAACGTTTGGGAAACGTTCTGCTTTGTTAAAACAAATGTGTTTGGGCCTCAGAAGGACCAGGATGTGGAGTAAAAAGCTCAACTCAGTCAGGCTTGGATATGCGTCCCTTGCTTAGTGAAGTTATGCATTAAAAAGTAATTATACCACAATGAGATACCACTTCATACTCTTTTGGATGACTATTATTTAAAAAATGAAAATGTTGGGGCACCTGGGTGGGTCAGATGGTTAAGCGTCTGCCTTCAGCTCAAGTCATGATCCCAGGGTCCTGGGTTCGAGCCCCGCATCGGGCTCCCTGCTCGGTGGGGAGCCTGCTTTTCCCTCTCCCACTCCCCCTGCTTGTGTTTCTACTCTTGCTATCTCTCTTTCTCTGTCCAATAAATAAATAAAATCTTAAAAAAAAATGAAAATGTTGGTGGGGATGTGGAAAACTTGGAACCTTTGTACATTGCTGGTAGGGAAACAAAAAGATGCAATTGCTGTGGAAAACAGTATGGTGGTTCCTCAAAACATTAAATATAGAATTACCATCTGATCCAGCAATCCCACTTCTGGGCATGTACCCAAAAGAACAGAAAGCAGGAACTTGAACAGATATCTTACACCAAAATTCATAGCAGCATTTTCACAACAGCCAAAAGGTAGACCCCACCCAAGTGTCTATCAACAGATGAATGGATAAACAAGTTGTGATACACTTTTACCATGAAATATTATTCAGCCTTAAAAAGGAGATTCTGATACACACTACAACATGGATGAACCTTGAAAACATTACGCTGAGTGAAATAAGCCAGATTAAAAAAGCCCCACATAAATATTGTATGATTCCACTTATGTGAGGTATGTAGAACAGGCAAAATTACAGAGACAGAAAATAGAATGGAGTGCCAGGGTTGGAGGGAGGGAAGAATGTGAAGGTATTGTGCAATGGATGTGGGGTTTCTGTTTGGAATGATGAAGAAGTTCTGGACACGGATAGTGGCGATGGTTGAGCAACATTGTGAATGTACTTAACATCACTGAAATATACACTTAACAATGGTTAAAATGATAAAGATTTGTATGATGTATATTTTACCACAATACAAAAGATATATAGATCCAAATGAAAGAAAAAAGTAGTTATAAATCCCTTTTTTTAAATAAATCCCTTCATTGAAGTTTTATTGAGGTTTTCAGAGGAGTGAAATTAGACGTACATTTTTAATTCATTTCTGTATCTGCTCAGTGAACACGTGTTAAATGAATAAATGAATCCGATCTAATAGAAGTCGTTCTGGATATGTACAGAGGAGCAAGCACACATACCTTCACCCGCACAGTCCTTTGTCCATCTGTCTTTTATTTTATTTTTTATTTTTATTTTTTAAAGATTTATTCATTTGACAGAGAGAGACACAGTGAGAGAGGGAACACAAGCAGGGGGAGTAGGAGAGGGAAAAGCAGGCTTCCCGTGGAGCAGGGAGTCCGATGCGGGACTCGATTCCAGGACCCTGGGATCATGACCCGAGCCGAAGGCAGACGCTTAACCGACTGAGCCACCCAGGCGCCCCTGTCTGTCTTTTAAATTCAGAAGTGCCATATGAATTCATAATCATTATTATTATTTTTAAAAGATTTTATTTATTTGACAGAGAGAGACAGCGAGAGAGGGAACACACGCAGGGGGAGTGGGAGAGGGAGAAGCAAGCTTCCTGCTGAGCAGGGAGCCCGATGCGGGCCTCGATCCCAGGACCCTGGGATCACGACCCGAGCCGAAGGCAGACGCCCAACCAACTGAGCCACCCAGGCGCCCCCATGATCATTATTTTTTAAAAAAGTCATACAATTCGGGGCCCCCAGGTGGCCCAGTCAGTTAAGCATCTGCCTTCGGCTCAGGTCATGATCTCAGGGTCCTGGGATTGAGCCCTGCGTTGGGCTCCCTGTTCAGTGAGGAGTCTGCTTCTCCCTCTCCCTCTGCCCCTCCCCATAGCTTGTGATCTCTCTCTCTCTCTCTCTCAAATAAATAAATGAAATTTTTTTAAAAATCATCCAATTTCAGACTGTAACTATGTGGCAGAAAGTTCACTCTCACAGATTCTCTATCCTACCTCACTCTTAGGTTTTTACCTCTTATCACTAATTGGCTAAACCCATCACCTGTGTGTAGCTGTCACCCTTTCCCAGCAGGCTTTAGATCCAGCCCGACCCAGGACCCAGGACCAGCAGCCTCTTCTCAGAAGAGCCTCTTGTGTTCTCACGTCTGACTTCCACCCCTACCTCTGCCCTGTAACACTCACACACACACAGTTTTAAGATTGATGGCACTGCTTCACCCTCTTCCCCTCTTCCCTATTTGCTTTCCGCCAGAGGTAAAGGCCTGGAGACCCTGGGTAGGTTGTTGGTTCCCGTATTTCCTCTGACTCCCAGCTCGGGAACCCCTCATGCAATCCAGAGTCAGGTTCTGCAAGCAACAGAAGGCAATTCTGACAGATGTAAGCAAAACAGAATGCACAGAATGAATCGAGGGAGACTTGGAGATGCAGGCCTGGAAAATAGTCACAAATAGGCCACTGCAGCACTGATGTGGTCAGTCAGCATGGGGAGTGGGATACCACCCCTGGGCCTCCTGTTAGCCCTGGACTCTATTAACATCGGTTCCTGGACACCTTGGCTGCCCCAGGATGTGGATGGTGCCCTCGATACTGCTGATGACCTAGAAAGGATTCTTGGTACCATTAGCTCCCACTTCGGGTTCTGGGGAGGACGCAGCTGATTCGGTACTGATCTGTGTCAGATAGTCTGAGTCTATGCCCTATGTGCAGAGAAAGCTGGAAAAGGGAGTATCTGGCCATTATGACTTCCATAGTGGAAAATGATCATCTCTGCCTTCCACCAAGAGTCATAGACAAGTTCATATGCTTGGCAGCCTTAAAAGAAAGTCAAAGCTCCCTTTTACCCATCTTCACCTAGATTTCTTCCAGCCTCTGTGTTACTGGGCTAGTCACTGCCCAGACATTACATTTCTTTGCAGTGCACCACAGGGTTCCTGAAGATTTAAAGAAACAAAAAAATTTTTTTAAGATTTTATTTATTTGACAGAGAGAGACACAGCGAGAGAGGGAACACAAGCAGGGGAAGTGGGAGAGGGAGAAGGAGGCTTCCTGCAGAGCAGGGAGCCCGACGTGGGTCTCGATCACAGGACTCCGGGATCATGACCTGAGCCGAAGGCAGACGCTTAACGACTGAGCCACCCAGGCGCCCCTTAAAGAAAAATTGTCTTAAAAAATCAACTGAAAAATGACTTCTGGCATTGGCAATGAGTGACGCTTGCTTGGATGGAGATGATTCTGTGTGTGTGCGTTGTGTGTGTGTGTGTGTGTGTATGTAAAATAATTTTATTGCATCCTTACTAGATTTGATGATACCATTGTTGTTCAGTTTTTTGTAATTTATTTTTTCATAAAGGTAATACCTCCCTCAAATACCAAAACTGTATTAAAAGGTTCATGCTTAGAAGTCTTGTTTGTACTTATGCCCCCATCCAGCCCATTACTTCCCCAACAGCCTTTTTTTTTTTTTTAAGATTTTTAATTTATTTATTAGAGAGAGAGAGCATGAGCAGGGGGAGGGGCAGAGGGAGAAGGAGAAGCAGGCTTCCCGCTGAGCATGGAGTCTGATGTGGAGCTTGATCCCAGGATCCTGAGATCATGACCTGAGCCGAAGGCAGACAACCGACTGAGCCACTCAGATGGCCCCTCCCCACCTGCCTTCTATAGAGAACCACTTTTATTCATTGGTTGCGAATACTCCCAGTGTTTATTTATGCAAATAAAAGTAAATATGGTATGGAATATACAGAATGGTGAGTATAGGTAATAATACTGTCTTGCATATTGGGAAGTTATTAAGAGTGTAGATCTTAGAAGTTCCCATCATGGGGCACCTGGGTGGTA